TCAACTCCCAGAATTCCTTAGCCAGGCTGAGGAATTCTGGGAGTTGAAGAGCACAAGTCATCAAAGGGACCAGTTTGAAGACCCCAACATCAGAGTAGAGTTTGGGCTGGAAGAACAGCCAAGCCTTGGGGCTGCTTTGGAGGGCCCAGCCCAGGGTTCACAAAGGGCTCCCCCGGCCACGTGTGGAAAGGCAGACACGTCACCTGGAGTTTGAACCGAGCTGGGAGCCCATGGGGGAGCATTGTCCTCACTTCCTCGGCCGAGAGGGTGTAGTAGCGACCTATGTGGTCTTCACCGTGCTTGGCCTGCAGGATGGAAAGAAAGGAAGGCGGTGCAGAGATCGGTTGGCGTTGATCATTGTGCCAAATTTTCAAATGTTCTTTTGTTCTGGAAGCCACAACGAAACCTCCCCAGCGTTTAAGGGAAATCATAGGAAGGAATGGATGGTGTTGCACACGAGGAGAATACGGCCAGCCCTCGACTTAACGACCGCAAGTGAGCCGAAAATCTCTGCGGCTATGCGAGACGTTGAAGTGATTTGGCCCCGCTTTACGACCTTTCTTGCAAATTGCTGCAGTTGTTAAATGAATAACGGTCGCTAAGCGGATCTGGCTTCCCCGGTTGACTTGGCTTGTCAGAAGATTGCAAAAGGGGGACGCTGTGACCATCGTAAATATGAGCCAATTGTTAAGCATCTGAATTTTGATTAGGGGGATGCTGCAACGGATGTGTGAAAAATATTCACAAGTCCCTTTTTCCAGTGCCGTTGTGACTTTGCACTGTCGCTAAATGAACTGTTAAGTCGAGGACTACCTGTATATCTTGTCGTTTATCCAGAGGTATCTAGAAGGCTCTGGATAGAGGCCATTGGGCCTTCATGCAATCGTGCTTCCTGTCTTGGAGCAGAAAAGTGGTGGGACCCAGAATGCCTCTAGCCCAGTGGGCTAAGATTTCTTTCTTGATGTGCTGGTGATCTCGGAGTAAAACAGGATTAAATCCATCGCCACCCTCAGCTTTGGGTGCCTATGCCCACACTGGGTTTATTTGTTCCAAGTTAGCAGGGAAAGATCAGTTGCCTGGCAACTGGGAGACTCTGGATTGCAGGGGCTGGCCCTGCGCTTCTGCAGATGCTGGGAGGCTGTGTGTGTGTGTGTGTGTGTGTGTTGCACGACAGGGTCTTGCCTGCCTGTTGCGGTTTCCATGGAGACCCCCAGAAGATTCAGCAGGGGGGGAATCCATTCTCCATGTCAGAGGCGGCTATGAAATCTCCCAAGGATGTTTTTGTTTGCTGCAGCTCCAATTGTAAAAACGAAGAAGACGACGGAGGCACCTCCTCCCTCAAAAGACACACACCTGAGGGGAGCTTCTGATTTTTTTTTAGGATGTGTTCCTTTTGAATGGCGGGGCTGTTTGATCGTTTTTTTGCTGCCGCACAAATGACATAGTGTGTGTGAATGGCTGGAATGGCAGCACCGGTTTGACTTTATTAAAAAACAAAAACAAAATGCAAGCAAAATGTGCCTGTTGGCAATTGGTGTCACAAGTTATGGATTGGGAGCTTATATAAAGAAATAACTTGAATTTCAGATTTTTAGGAGACGCTTGCAGGTTTCCTATAGGTGGGGAAGGGATTGGGGATCTCCCAAGCAAACCTTTTGCAGGTTGCGGGTCAAGGTGGAACTGAAAATCAGCTCTACAGGGAAACGGGAACTCAACTTTCTTTGTAGGGTATAATAATAGATATGGACCCAATTGCAGGAGGAGCTAATGAAAAAGCTCCAGTGCAGGGAAGGGAAGGGAGGAAGAGGACTGCCATCAAGAAGCTGGAGGGGGCACTACTGGGAGACTTGAAAGAACAGATTAGGGACAGATTGTCATGGATAACACCTATCAGCTAAGAGTCGAACACAAACTGATGGCACACAATCAAAAAATAGTAACAGAATCCTGCAAGTCTTTGTGGCTTTTTTGATTTGGTTTACCTCAAAGGGCTGACCTCCCCACACCATCAATCCAAGTTAAATAGATGCTGGAGGAAAGGTGAAACAGGGAAGCATACAGTGGCTACAACTTAAAATAACTGCCGGATTATTCTCAACCCTACAGTCAAACACAACTCATGCTGACCAAGGCAACCCTCTTTCCAAATGAACACACACAAGGCTCAAAATATTCTACTTTGCTCGGTTCAGAGTCGCAAACCGTTGTCAAGATGTCTACAGATGATTGGAAACACCTCTTCCGTGCCTGATATTAACTCACGGGGTCATTCTCGCTGGTGATGAAGGCAGCTCTGAGCATTTCTGGTTGAAGCTGGGCATTCTGGGTTGACATTGTCCTCTGCCAGGTTCTGGGGTGGAGAAAGCCATCCAGTTCCAGCTAAGGAAAGAAAAAAGTCCACATGAGTAGGGAGAGCTGGCTTTTCAAAATGACAGCAAGAAAAAGAAAGGCGATCTGCTAAAAATTTTAAAAATAAAATAAGAGGGCATATTTAGAAACAAGCAGCTGGGTATCCATAGCCTGAAGAAGAAATGAACAGCACAATTGTCCTCAAAAGCCATTCCTTCTCCCCAAATCAAAAGACAGGTGGATAAACTCACGTATCCTCGAGGGATAAGTTTCCTCAAAGTCCTCAGCATGGTCCCCCCTGCCAATAAAAATAGCAGTTGTTTGGAACAAAAGATATTTTTGTTTTTTTTTTAAGCAGGATTTTTTTTTCACTTTTTAACTTTTCTGAAAGCCAACCTTTGAGTAACAGTTATGTAACTCCCTGGAGGGCGTAAAGGAAAGAGTTAGTTTCCAGAGGGATTAGAGACCAGCAACCAATTCTTTTCTGAAGTGTAAGTAAGTTGCAAAAGGATCTTGTCTTCCTTTGTTGCTTTTCATTGTCACAAAATATACAGTGAGTTTCCCCAGGAAAATATGGTGCTGTTCCTAGTCAAGCATGCCTTTTTCAAAACAACTCTTCATTTTCAGTATTTTTGCTTTCCAACCTCCAACGTGGGACATACAGGAAGTCCTTGACTTAAAACAGTTCATTTAGTGACTGTTTGAAGTTACAATGGTACTGAAAAAAGGGACTTAAGGCCATTTTTTTTACACTTTTAAGACCGTTGCAGCACTCCCCTGGTCATGTGATTAAAATTTAGACGCTTGGCAACTGGTTCATATTTACAATGGTTGCATAGTCTGGGGAGGTCACCTGATCCTGTTTGCGACCTTCTGACAAGCCAGGTCAATGGGGAAGCCAGATTCTGCAGTGAGTCCCTCAACTACTGTGGCAAGAAAGGTTGTGAAATGGGACAAAATTCACTTAATAAATGTCTCGCTTAGCAACATTTGGGGCTCAGTTGCGGTTGTAAGACGAGGACTTATCTGAATTTGGTTCTTCCTGGATTATTTAGTGCATTTTTCCTCCCCTCCAATTCGTTTCTTCAAGGTTGATCACGAGGAACTTAGCCTCCGCTCACCTCTATTTTCATCTACAGGTAGTCCTCGACTATAGGACCACAACTGAGCCCAAAGTTTGTGACGCTAAGTGAGACATTTGCTACATCAGCTTTGCCTCATTTTACGACCTTTCCTGTGACATTTCAATAGTCTTTCTTGTCACTGTGTAACTCACGATGAAATTCAGTGCTGTGTGCACACTACACACGTAAAAACCGCTTCAGGGAATTCTCGCAGTTGTTAAGTTAGCCACATGGCTGTTAAGTGAATCTAGCAGACTTGGCTGCTCAGAAGGTCGCAAAAGGGGGATAACCCAGGGACACTGCGACCGTCATAAAGACGAGTCAGTTGCCAAGGGTCTGAATTTCGATCACAGGACCAGGGGATGCTGGAACGGTTGTTAAGTGTGGGAAACTGTCGTAAGCCATTGTAATGGTCACTAAATGAACTGTTGCAGTGGAGGACTTCCTGTAGATTTGAAAGAACATTTCAAATTCGCTTTCTACAGCAGTGAAGCCACTCTAGAGGCACCAGGCTAGGGGTCTTCAAACGTGGCCCTTTGAGGACTTGTGGACTTCAACTCCCAGAATTCCTCAGCCAGCGCTGGCTGAGGAATTCTGGGAGCTGAAGTCCATAAGTCATCAAAGGGCCAAGTTTGAAAACCTCTCCTCCAAGTAGCAGAAGACAGAAAGCTTCGCCACTTTGTAGCCGCCACAGCTAGCAACCTGTCCCCATTTGGAGCCCCGCCTCGCCCCCTACTAAATCGGGAAAGGCTGCACAACAGCCCTGCGAGGTAGGCTCGATCAAAAGACTAGCCCAAAGATGGGATCGTCCTTCCTCGCGGGGTCGTCTCCAGACTTTATACGAAGAGATACGACGGCCGGCGGGCATCTAATTGTGTTCCCCCCCCCCACATACACACACAAACCTCGCATCAACTGGGGAATAAAAGCAAAAAAGCTCCCCCCCAAAAAAAGTCCTGGTCGTCCGCGCCTTCGGCCAAAGATCAAATATATCCTCCTCTTCACAAAAAAGGGAAAAAAGGAAAAAAAAACGCCAACCGCCGTGAAGGGATTACAAAAAAACTTCTGCGGAGTTTTCCGCCGTGCTGGGCGCCGCCATCTTAACTCGCCGCACGCCTCAGCCCGACGGCGTCCCCGCATTAGGCCGACGGGGCCCGCCGAGGGACAATCTTCCTCGGTCCGAATCTTTTTTTTTTTTCTTCTTTCAAACCTTCCCACAAGGAGCGCGAGTACGCGCTCCCCCTCCCTCACTTTGGCTTATCTCGGCAGGGCGACGACGATTGGCGAGCCGCGCTGAGGAGAGGGCGTTGATTGGCTGAGGCCCGCGTCTCTTCTCTCTCTCTCTCTCTCTCTCTCTCTCTCTCTCTCTCTCTCTCGTCCCCTCCCCTGCCAGCCAGGGAAGGCATATCCCGCTCTGAGGGAAGAGGAAAAAGAGAGAGAGGAGGAGGAGGAGGGGTGGTTTCAAAAAAAAAAAAGGAAGGAGGGAGGGAGAGAGGGTGGGCGTGGCCAGGGCGCGCTCGAGCGCGAGGCAGGAGCGCGCAGGCGCGCGCTGAGGCCAGAGCGCCGCTGCCGTCGCCGTCACCGTCGCCGCCGCCGCCGCCGCCGCTCGCTGCCGCCATTTTGGATCCGCGGCCGCCCTCAGAGTGAGGGGCGAGCGAAGGAGCCAGGCCGAGGCCGCCGTTGCCGCCCGGCTCCGGCCTCGCCCGACCACCCGCCACCAGCAAACAGCAGCAAGCAGCCGCCATCCGGCCTGCGGGATGAGGCGGCGTCCTGGCCGCGATACGGTGCGTGGCGGGACCGGCCGGGGAGGCGGCGGCGGAGATGTGGTGGGAGGGGGGAGACCGTGCCACCGCCCTGACAGCTAGGCCGAGGCGTGACAGACTTTCCGAGGCCGGGAAGGAGGGAGAGTCGCTCGCCTAGGCCGCTCTGGGCTTCGGGGTGGGGGGCAAAGGGGGCTCCCCGCGGAGCAGGAGGGGGGAAGGGGGGAAAAAGCTCTTTGGGGGCGGGGGGAGGGGCGAAGGGGTGGTCCTGGCTGTGCCCCAGTTTTGCTGCTGGAGGGAGATGCCAGCCTCTGAGAGTGTGTACGTGTGTGTGTGTGTGTGTGTGTGTGTGTGTGTGATGTGTGTGCACGCTTGAGTCTGAGCCTGGGAGGTCTGTGTGTGCAACGTTCACAGAGGGGGGCATGCATGGTGTGCGGGTGTGTGTGTGTGTGTGTGATGCGAGCGCGCCTGTGAGTACGTGTGCATTGTGTGTGTGTGTGTGTGTGTGTCAATATGTGCATTGAGTATTTCTGTGTGTCACCTTTATCTGAGTGTGTATTAGGTGTGGTGCACACCTTAATCAGCTGAGCCTGTGAGGTCTGTGCATGTGCCCTTTGGGGGGGGCAAGTGTCGTGTGTGTGTGTGTGCGTGTGCGCGCACACTTTTACCTAAGTGTGTGTGTGTGAGTGAGAGTTTGTGTGAGTCTGTTAGGACCGTGTGTACACCCGTTTGTGGTTGTAGGGGGTGTGTGTGTGTATTATATGAGCATACCTTTGAATATATTATGTGTATCAATTGAGTGTGTGTCTGTTTGCACCTTTATCACAGTCTGTTAGGTTTGTGTGTGTGCCCGTTTAGGGGGGGGTTCTATGGTGTGTGTGTGTGTGTGTGTGTATTGTGTGTCCTCACCTTTATCTGAGTGTGTATTAGTTGTGCATGCACACCTTAGCTTGAGTCTGTTTGGTCTGTGTGTGGCCCCCCTCTACGAGGGAGTGTCATGTGTGCGCACACCTTTAAGTCCCATGTATATGAGTGCAAGTTTGGGTGAGTCTTTGAGTATTGTGTGTGCACCTGTTTATGGGGAGGTTGTATGGTGTGTGTGTGTGTGTGTGTGTTATGTAGCACCCTTTTATCTGAGTGTGTATAAGATGTGCGGGCAACCCTTTAACTGAGTCTATTCGGTCTGTAGGTGCAGCCATTTAGGGGGTATATTATGTGTCTGCACACCTTTATATGGGTGTTATGTGTGACTCTGTTAGGATTGTGTGCACACAGTTATGGGTGTGTATCACACATGGCACTCTTGTGGGATTCCCTCGTGTTGAGACTTTGTGTTGTCAGATTCTTGGGTCCTCGCTGTTCACCCTGGAGGTTGTGGTCCAGCTCCAGAATTCTTGATTTTGATGTGGGAAGTCTTCCTCTTCTTAACTGTGAGATGTATCTCTACGCCTGTTTGTTTAACCAGGTGTCTGTGTGTGTAGACTTTGGTTCTAGATACAGTATCTATGTATAAAAATTATTTTTGGGTCGTCAATAAGGTGGCAATTCAGAGGGCTGAACCGTCTATCTAAAGTGTGTATGAAACTCTTGACCACACAGTTCCATAGTTGAAACTTTTGCAGAGGGTTGCTAAATAAATTTGATTTTCAAGAATTATTGCCAAGTGCTTCCAGCATGAACTGTATGTACAAGCCGAAGATCAATTCCTTGATATCACCTCAGTATTGCCATATAGTCAGCATAAGGCATATTTCATTAGTGAAAGGTAGCACAGAGTGTCTATGGGCACACCTACATGCATAAACACGCATGTGTTTTGTTTGATATACAAATGTTGGAAAACTCTTAGCCAATTGCTGTTTTCTAGTGTGTCTATGTATCATAATAGGTCATCACACACAGAGAGATTACATGTGCTTTGCATGCTGATTTTTTATTTAAATATTGCCTTTGGCTCCCATATGGCGAAAGAGACTCTTGACAATCAGGTTAACCTGCTTAGAACTGCCCTGGAAAGCAATTCCTGCACAAATCCTGTGCAAGTAGTTTTATAAAACATTGCTAATAATTTTTGTTTTCATATGCCACAATGCATAAGCTCCCACAGACCATTTTGCTGGTCAATTTGGGTTTTATAAAATAGAGGAGAAAAAGAGTGTTGTATAAGATTTAAAAGACGTTCAATATCACATATCCTACAGCCAGAGCAGGACTGTCATGTCATTATATGGAAATAAATGACATGTCATTATTGGGAATAAAATATACCTATCAACGCTGGTATCCATGTGTGACTTCTTTATCCTCTGGTGGAAGCAAATAGCTTGCCTTCTGTTTGTCCCCTAAAACAAAATTTTTACAGCTAAGAGGTTTTGCTTTTATTATTATTATCATCGCATAATAAGGATTCTCCTTATTTTCCTTGTGTGATAACTTTCATCTCTTTGTTCATCAACCCGAGATCTAAATACTTATCACGTGCTATCCATCATTTCTTCTTGACCTGTTCAGAGTTTGATTGAGGATTTTGGGGGGGGTATTTTTATAATCTTTTTGGAGAGAATAAAAGTCATTTTGGCTGGTTTGGGGAATTCCAGGGTTATGACTACCTCTCATCCTGTCACTTGGAGTTTCCTCTTTGATAAATTTAACCACCTTTATCTTTTGTTAATAGACTACCAGAATCAGCCTTAATCTTATTGATGGTGACCCTCTTGAATTGCAAGGTGGGAAACCAATGCATTTGAAAAATAAACTAGGGTTAATTTTCCCAGAATCTCGTTATTTCAGTCACTGGGAAGAGAGGAGAAATAGGGGAGATCGTCTCACTGTGGTTTGAATTGTCTTTTGAATTGGGGGTTCAGCCGGAAGGGAGACCCACTGAGACCACCACCCACCTCCTTACGTTGTCAAGCAAACGGTTCACCTGTTGAGAAGCAATGCTGGGGGACCAAACCAGTAGGGGGCGGTAGCAAAATTGGTACTCCCAATGACGTAATTGATTACAGTGTTTTTTTTTTTTAAAAAAAAAGTCCATTTGACCTGATTGATACCTGTCTAAATCAAACAGCCTTTAAGCAGAAGCCAATCACTGTCGATAGTTAGATGTAAAGATGTTTGTTTGGATTTAGGTGCCCCCCATTTGGCCCAGAGGCGGCCTGTGCAACAGAAAAGTTTGCGTGGAATCCATGAAGAATAGATTTGTACAAGACAAATCTTCCCTTTGTCTCGAAGCCTTTTTTGATACCTGTGTTTCTTTTCAGCGTTCGTGTTTCTCTTTGCCCTTTCTTTTGAATTTTCCTAAACAAAAAGCGAATACCGTTTCGCATTTGCACAGCTAGAGTGCCCGGACGCCTCGGCTCCCTTACTTTTTTTTCTTCCAGCTCAGCCCCGACACAATTCTGAATCTCTGCCCTCTGAAGTGAAATTATTTTCTCTCCTGTCTTTCCGTTAACAGTGAGAAGATGCTGGCCGCCGACGTCCGGAAAGAACTCCCTACGGACCGCGTGCCTGCCGCCTTTTAAGAGAAGGAGAGTTTTGCCAGGGCACATAACTGGGATGGACCCTCAGAATACTGCTATGTTAGGGTTGGGTTCTGGTTCTGAAGGGTTTTCTTGGAAGAACCCCTCTGCGGCCGCCACGGGAGTTAGGCGAGACGCGGAGCTGAATGGTAGCACCAAAGAGGAAGAGGAGGAGAAGAGGAAGAACCGGGAGAAGAGCGGCGGTAATGAGGCGGGGAAAGAGGGGAGCCTGTCTGAGGCCCAGCAACAGTTCTCGGTGAAGGAGACCAACTTTTCCGAGGGGAATTTAAAACTGAAAATTGGCCTGCAGGCTAAGAGAACTAAGAAGCCCCCCAAGAACTTGGAAAACTATGTCTGTCGCCCGGCCATAAAGACCACTATTAAACAGCCCAGGAAGGTGCAGAAAGTCGGGAAGATGGGTGAGGAGAAGAACGATCCGGGATCTGCCAAGCAGCAAGTGAGTTGTGTCTGTGTTTAAATTCCAGTTTGTGTATCCAGAGCGGGTTTGTTTTTCAATTGATAACGGGACTAGCTTTCGGTGTCTCTCTTCCTCCTTTCCAGTACAGGTTGTCTTCGGCTTACAACCTATAATTGAGCCCAAACTTTTTGTTGCTAAGGGAGACGTTCACTGGCTTTTGGCTCCATTTTAGGACCTTTCTTGTCACGGTTGTTAAATGAATCACGGCAGTTGTTAAAGTTAGTAACGTGGTCGTTAAAGGGGAATCACCTGACCCCGGGTACACTACAGCCGTTGTAAACAGGGTTTCCTGCTTGAGCAGAGGTTGAACTAGATGACCTCCAAGGTCCCTTCCAACTTTATTATTATTATTATTATTAAATGGGAGTCAGTTCTCAAGCGTCTGAATTTTGACCACCCGATCACGGGGAATACTGCACAAGCCAAATCATAAGTCGCTTTTTTCAGCCTGGTTGTAACTTGGAACCGTCACTAAATGAACCATTTTTAAGTCGAGGACTGCCTGTCTCCCTCCTCCCCTTATCCTGCGTGTTTCTGCTTTAAAAGCCCATTTGATGTTGGCTGTGCTGGTTCTGTGTTCTGATTTAGACTGACCTGCAATCCAGTTTTGCAATTCCAAGAGTCACACAACAAAGGGGTTTTGAGAGCTGAGTGTGCTTGCCCCACATTTATCTCGTTGCAGTCCTTACAGCATAATGTAGTCCATTGGTATCATCCCAATATTGTGGGATACAACATCACACCTGAGAAAAATGCAGATTTCCTGCAAAATTCAGGAGAAAGATGGAGTTTAAACGGACGTTTTTTTATTATTATTATTTGTAGCTCAGGCTTTTCACCATTATATTGTGTAGACCCAGATCTTGGCAATTTGTTTTTGTCGATCAGAAAGGTCCCAAAGGTGCTTTTTCAGAACTGAAGAAGCTCCTTAGATAAGGAGCGAAAGGTCTTCAAGGCAAAACAAAGATGTCCAGTTGCCTTTTGAAAAAGCACCTTTGAAACCACCGTGACCTGGACGAGAAATCTCCATAAACATTGATCAGAAAGGGCTGATAATTATCTCTGCCAGCAGTCTGATTTACAGTGACATCTGAATAATCTACCGGGGGGGGGGAACTCTGCATACTGTTTGAACCCCTAGCCTAGGATAACCTTTCTTTATTAAATTTATATTCTGCTTTTCTTGCTATCAATTCTGCGCCGTGCCCTGATGTCCTCTCAATTATTGACGAGCGGCGAGACCTAATTTAGACAAGTGCTTCTCAGCCTGGCCTGTCTGTTTGTTTTTTAATGCCACCAGACAAGATGCATAATAAGCTGTAGACCTCAGTAGCAAGGAGGTATGTGGATGTAACCAGAGCAGGTGGGAATTGTAAGAGGAGAAAGGAAGTGTAAAAAAGACAGATATATCCATTTATTGCAGAGTGCAAGGGGGGGGGGTTGATAGTTGGCTAAAGATACAATCATTTCTCTGAGGACATAGTATTCAGTAAACATTGTGTTTTGAAGGTCAATGAGAAATTGTCTTGTAGAGGCCCAGTGTGTGTGTGTGTGTGTGTGTGTGTGTGTGTGTGGTGTTTAAAACTCCAGTCTGCCCTTTCTCCCAGGTGACATTGCTTCACCTTCAAAATTCAACCTGTGTTCATTCTGGCCTCACCAAAATATTCATGCCTTGGCGAACCTGGGTTTCAGACGCGTGGCTAAACAGGCTTCGGATTGGATAGAATTTCTACCTCCCTCCTTTCAGTACCCATCCATTTATTCTTGTTAAAGTAATCCCACAGTGGCGTTTTATCTAATGCCTTCATTTGCGTGCTTAAAATGTTTTTTTCCAAAGCGATGGCAAAAGGCTTTCAGAATTAATGTTCCCATTGTAAAGATTGAGAACGGCTCCGGAGAGCACCTCACGCTGTCCTAAATTGTCCGGTTCCTTTGAACTTCAGCCCTACAAAATAAGTATAGGTAGATGTCAAACCAGCTGTAGGGGAAAATATTTTTTTTATTATTATTATTTTTGAATACAGGTATTTGTGCTCCTTTTCTCAGCACAGCTTAATTGCATGAGCAGTTTTGAACCCATGCAATGGTTTATGCTTTAAATATAGCTCGGAAGCTTTTGCTGGCATATGAGAATAACCTGTGATTTTTTTTAGTGTGCCTAAAAAACATTCGAAAATCCAGGTGTTTCATTTCCAGAACTGAACAACTTGATAAAATGCACCCACCATCTTCTTGGGAAGTTCCATAATTCATGCCTCTAGTCTAGCTGATGTTTTGCCATATAAGCAGGTAATTCCCAACCTCTGCGGGCTGTAACTTTGCTAAAATTAGCAGGGTGATTTATCTTCTCTACCTGTAACCCTGGCCATTGTCCGAAGGCGGAAAGTAAAACTCTCCAGTCGTTAAGTCCCCCCAACCAAAAGAAACCCAATTCATACCTTGTCCTTTAAGGAGAGAGACATCAAAATAGGCATTTTGTAAGAAAAAAAGGCTAAATACCTGGGTTCTCTTTTTTTGGGGGGGTGGTCTGGTGTTTTTTCCCCCTCCCAGTTCTTTTCACTCTCTATAAATATTTATATTGCCTGCCTGTTGGGGGGGGGGTCTGTCTTTCCATTATTTTGCAGACTGCAGGGGGAGGAGATCTATCGTTCTCCAGATGTTCTTGGATAGCCACCACCTGTTCTCCCTGGGTATTGTCCCTACCGCGCTATGGCTATTTGGCTGCTGCCCTTTTTCATAGCCATTTTAGAAGCACGATGGTGTCCTATTTTGTTGTCCTCCCACTCCTTTGCTCAAAGGGACCCTTTTTTAAAATTGTAACTGTCAGATCAAAACGTGAACGGTGCGATTTGGGTTGTTACTGTCCTTCGTTGGATGCAAATGTGTCTCCCGTACGATGATTTGGTGTGGCAGATTTAAGGAATGAAGGCCTGGCCCTTGTCAGAGGGAAATTGTAGTGTTTTGCGCAGACATTTCAAGAAAAGCGTGAAGACGGACATCCTAAACACAATAGAAGAGACTATTTGTAGCTCATTGTTGAATTGTGGGGTCCTTGGTGCTCTCTGAGCTTGGTGGTTTCCTTGCAGACGTTTCATTACCCAACTAGGTAACACCATTAGTGCTAGAATGGAGTGGGGTTTGCTGATGAACACAATGTGACCTAGCTGAGTCATGAAATGGCTGCAAGGAAACAGCCACGTTTAGAGAGCAGCAAGGACTCCACTTTAGAAATAAAATTAATACAACCAGCAGGCTAAGATCTAACACAGTATGCGCGAAAGAAAAAAGTGGGTTGATAAACCAAGAGTAACAAGCAGAAACCAAGCAGGCATCTCGGGAGAACTGAGTTTGCCAAACAGAATGCTACAGTTTTGAATATTGTCGTTTCCTATAAACAACTTGTATATATCCTTCTCTGGAGCAGATTTCCAGGGATATAGATCAAGTCCATCAAGATGTTTCCTCCTTTAAATCTCAATTAGCCGTGGCCTGCTATAGTCACAGTTGAAGAGAGGGGGGGGGAATGTTAAATATTTTTATTTATTTATTTTATTTGCAAAGGAAGTTCACAGGTAATGTTACGGTCGCCTCACCCTTCAGTGCTATTTTCAGGATGTTTATTTTCTGTGTGGTGAAACCTCAGGGGCAGTGGTTTCCTCTCTTTGCTATTTTTTTTTTTTTTTAGAAGTGCTTTATAAGCTAATGACATAATAAGGAACGTTAGCACTAAGGTTGGGGATATTGGTGTTAAGCGGAGGGGTTTTTGTAACTAAAATCGAAATTATCTTTTGAGAGTAACACTCAGAACTCTTTGGAGTCTTTTGGCAAGTCGTCTTCTCAGGGGTTCTCCAAATATAGGGGATGATAGGTCTCAGAATTCCCTAGTGGCATGATGGAGATTGTAGCCCCGGCCCAGCTGCGAGACAGACCTATGCACCGTATCACTGCAAGGTTCATGCATAAATTGCAAAGTGCAGCGATTTGCAGCCTACATTGCTGAAGTGCAGGAAATGTGGCTTTAAGCCTACAGTAGTAGTAATAATAATAATAATAAAGTTGGAAGGGACTTCGGAGGTCATCTAGTCCAACCCCCTGCTCAGGCAAGAAACCCTGTACCATTTCAGACCAATGGTTGTCCAGTCTCTTCTTAAAAACTTCCAGTGTTGGAGCATTCACAACTTCTGGAGGCAGGTTGTTAATAATAATAATAATAAAGTCGGAAGGGACCTTGGAGGTTATCTAGTCCAACCCCTTGCTCAGGCAGGAAACCCTGTACCATTTCTGACAAATGGCTATCCAGTCTCTTCTTTAAAACTTCCAATGTTGGTGCATTCACCGCTTCTGGAGGTGGGTTGTTCCACTGATTAATTGTTCTCATTGTCAGGAAGTTTCTCCTTAGTTCTAGGTTGCTTCTCTCTTTGGTTAGTTTCCACCCGTTGCTCCTTGTCCTGCTTTCAGGCGCTTTGGAAAATAGCTTGACTCCCTCTTCTTTGGGGCCGCCCCTGAGATACTGGAACAGAGCTATCATGTCCCCACTCGTCCTTCTCTTCGTTAAACTAGACATACCCAATTCCAGCAGCCTTTCCTTATATGTTTTAGCCTCCAGTCCCCTAATCATCTTTGTTGCTCTTCTCTGCACTCTTTCTAGAGTCTCAGCATCTTTTTTACATCATGGTGACCAAAACTGGATGCCGTATTCCAAGTGTGGCCTTACCAAGGCATTGTAAAGTTGTATTAAGACTTCATGTGATCTTGATTCTGTCCCTCTGTTAATGCAGCCTAGCACTGTGTTGGCTTTTTTGGCAGCTGCAGCAGTGCCAAAGGAAAAAAAAAAAAAAAAGAAATCTGCCCCAGGGCCAAGGATTTCGCGTGACATAATAGGGCAGTAAGTCGTCCAATAATTTTGTCAGAATTATTAATTTATCCTTAGGGCTCCCTTTTGAACCTAGTTTGTTTGTTTGTTTGGCCTGAAGTGGAGT